CTTGACCTAACGAGCGGTCACACATTCCACAGCCGAAAAACTGGACAGGATTACGTTAAAATGTGTGACCACGTCACTGGTCACACCTTCCAACGTAGTCACACACTTTGATAGAACACAGGCACATTAGCGCTTACGTTCCGGTCCAGTGCGATCTGCACAAATAGTGCTTGCTGTCTTTTTGCAGAACGCACTGGACTGGAACGCAGGCACTAATGTGCCTGCGTTCCAGGTGTGGGTGATCGCACTGCGGGTGGGGAGGCGTGGCTGCGGTGCCATTGACTTCAGTGCAATGGCCCAAGCCCCCTCCCGCAGGCCGGCTTGAGGTCCAGAGGCCGACCGCACTTGAATGCGCATTTTGTGGTGTGAACCTTAGGGTTATTTTTATTCATTTTTTTTTATTTGCTTTGGAGACAGCATATTAGCAACCGGGTGCAATGCTCTGGCTCCCGCAGACTCTTCCTCCTGTCCATGTGTCTGTACCAGTAATAGGGACGGGAGGAAGTGTCAATGGATTACAACTGCTGTGCCCTCACGGCACTTACAGGTGAAACTCGAATAATTAGAATATGGTGCAAAGTTCATTTATTTCACTAATGCAACTTATGCGGTGAAACTAATATATGAGAGAGACTCATTACATGCAAAGCAAGATAGTTCAAGCCGTGATTTGTCATCATTGTGATGATTATGGCTTACAGCTCATGAAAACCCCAAAAACCCCAAATCCACAACCTCAAAAAAGTAGATTATTACATGCAATCAATAAAACACGGATTGTACATAGAACAATATCGGACCTCTGAGAAGTACCAGCATGCGTATGTACTCAGTACTTGGTTTGGGCCCCTTTTGCAGCAATTACTGCAATTACTTTTGCACGATATTCTAATTATTCGAGTTTCACCTGTATATTCTATTGAGAGCAATAACTCCCTCTTCCATGGTGGCTGTTGGAACTTGTAGTTTCTCCATTCAAAGGATCTGTGAATGGATGACACGGCTGTGTGGGCGGAGCCATGCCAAATAAAAAAAATGCACGCAAGGCTACAGGATCCTTTCATTTTGGGGGAAAGGGGGGGCACTGTGACCATGTTTCATGTTACATCCTCAATACAGGTGTAACATGAAATACGGTGAGAGAGGTGCAGTCAGTCTTTGATATTCTCACGTTTTCAGTGTACCGTGTTAGCAAACCGTAAGGCCCCGTTCACACGTAGCGACATACCTTTTGCAGCGGATCGGCGCTGCCGGGATAGCGCGACTTTCGGGGCGACGTTCCAGCGACGATCCAGCAACGGTAGCGCGATCTTCTCCGTCGGGCTCCATTAGAAAAAAGCAAAATCCGCCGAAAAAAGGGTCCTGTAGAAGCGACTTGCGACCGCGACGTGCGACATGAAGCTAAGACAGCTCCATTGAATAGCATTAGCCGGCGGCTTCTCGCGATATTGCAAAAATGCGCAATATCGCGCGATAAATCGCTACGTGTGAATGGGGCCTGAGGGGGGTCATTCACACCGGATACTTTTGGGGCTCCGCAGCCCCCTCACAAGACATGGTAATAATTTGCTTCATTACGGATGTACACCGGTCACACCAACGCGGTGTATGTGCTGAAAAAAAAAACATGCGTCCTGCAGTCCTTTTTTCATTGCAGCAGGAGGTGACGCATTACAACCGCCACACACCCCGCTGTGCCCGTAGAACCGGATGTAATGTCACTTGTGATGTTTCAATAAAGTTATAAAAAAAAAAGAAAGCAAAATGTAGAATGTGACGGGATTGGCGCAGCCGCACTGTGCCAGGCACCGCACCCCAGTCGCTGTGTGAATGGGCACCGCAAGTCAGGGGATTATTTTCTGTGCCCTCCATTGACCTTCAGGAGCAGATATGAAGAGGAAACCACAGGCCGCCTCTCTGTGGCTGATGGGATCAGTAGCCACGTCTACCCGCAGGCCCGGGAGCTCTGATGGCCGGTCCATTATAATGGGCTCGATGTGAAGGGAAAGTTCACAGTCATGGTGACTGACTACAATAAAAATGTGTTTCTTTCAAGTGAACCTGAACACAGAACATGGTAGCTGCCATTGTGATTGTGTGAGAGGCCTGACAGGGTCTCTTTAAGGCCGCACATGGTGGGAATGGACTTGCATTATATGAAAGCGTCACACACTCATTGTACTCATCGATTCCTGTGGAAGTCCCCCCGCATTAGATGCTGTTAGTCACCCGTGCCCCCTCCCCCCAATGGGATGCCGCCTGTGGCTACTGCCTAAGGCTGCCTCATTATGGGGGCACCCCTGGCTGTGGTTTACATTTCAACATATGCAGAGTCTGTGTTTGGCCTGCAGCTGAAATGCACCTTCCTAGGGCATGCCGCGTCGAAAGAAATGCATCGCAACGCAAGTCAAACGCAGCCTCTGAGCCGCCATGTGCACTGCTCACTTTGGGCTCCTTCACACCATGTACTGCCCTCTGCGTTATTCTACACGACGCAGGTCATTTTACAGTGCCGGCTCGTGTGAACGAGCTCTTAGGCCCCGTTCACAAGCAGAAAAACGCCTCTCGCACAAACTAGTAAATGAGTTATTTTGGGGCAGATTGCAGCGCGTTTTGTCCCTGTGGACGCAATAGAAAACGCGCGTTTTGATTATTTTTGTACGTTTTTTTTACACACATATTGCCTGTTTATATAAATGTGACTAAAAAATTGCACAACAACAGAGGCGCGCAAAAACCGCTAAAAAATGACACGTGTAAAACGCGCTTAATAGGTGTCGCTTAGGCCCCATTCACACACGAATCGGCCTGCATGTACAGCTCCGTGCTGCGTGCGGGGCCGTACCAAGTGGCTGCCGGGATGGACAGGTTCCATAGGGGTGCAGGTTTTCTGGTCGGGACGCATACATGTTCCATTCCGGCGGCGTATGGATACGATCACCCGCACCCCTACGGACCTGCAAATGAGGTGAGTGTAGGGGGGCGTACAGCCGCGTAGCCCCATAGAGAGGGACGGGGGCTGCGTTCTAATCACACGCAGCACCTGTCCTTCCCGGCAGCTACTTGGTACGGCCCCGCACGCAGCACGGAACGGTACGTGCAGGCCGTGTGTGAATGAGGCCTTAGGAGTGAATGGAGCCTTAAAGGCGATGAAACTTTGCTGACCTGCGTTTGACGTTTTGTTCCAAGCGCAGGCAAACAACGCCAATTGACATGCACCCTGTGAATGTCACTCAATAAATGTCTCTATATATATATATATATATTTCCGCTCTTTATGAAAATACATTGTATACATAGTGAGTTCTCTGCGAATCTCTTCAACATTTATTGCTATTTTCTCTGTCTGCAGCACGTGCACGATCATCAGCATTGCTGCTCTACAGGTGGGCGTGGAGACGAGCTTGACCCCGCCCGCCCACGTGATGCTCCCATAATCCTCAGCAGTAGTTTCAGCTCCGTGTTCTTCATTTGCATACCGATAGTGCAGCTGTGACAGAGTTTTTTGGGGCGGATTGATGTAGTTTGTTGTATTTTTCTGTCTCACGTGTTGTGTTCACTCCTTTGTATCATCACAGTGAATATTGAAGATGTATGATATACGCCGAGAGTGAATCTCCAACAGGTGAAGGGGGCCGGTGTGTCGGCGGGGGGTTCTCTTTCGCCTGCTGTCAGTATACTCTGGTTTCTCTTCAGATCGAATAAATCTTTCGCCTTTTACTAAAGATTTCCGTGGAGAGGAACAATTATGAGTTTCATTCAATTTTTTGAGGCTCAGCGCAAGCTGGGCTAACCTGATTGGTCAAAGATAGAATATCATTATCATTGGATACATTGTAGGAGATCACGTGAGATGTCTTGTTCTTACTTTGTATTTTTCGTTTATTTATAGTGGTTGAGTTATATTTCTGAGTGCTGGCAGAGAGGGGGGAAGGGATACTATGGGGGTTTATTGTGTTCTGGGATTCTTCTTGGTACCTGATACATTGTTGGTGATCACATGAGATGTCTTATTGTAACATTGTATCTATCATTGTTTGTAGTGGGTGAGATATACTCATGAGTGCTGGCATAAAGGGAATGGGAAAATGGAAAAGGTCCAGCGGAGGGCTACCAAACTCATAAAGGGGTTCAAGGACCTGAACTATGAAACAAGGTTGGAGGTTAGGAGATTAAAGGAGAACTATGAGGGGGGGAGGGGCTTGTCACTCACCTCATAGTTCTAGCCGACCTGCGACAATGAGACTGTCACAGGTCAGCTCAGTAGATCGGGAGGTGAGAGAACACATGCCGGCGTTCGCTCACCTCTCGATCCTGTCACAGCTCTCTGCCGTGACAGGGGAGGGGCTGGATTCCTCCGATCCGCCAGCGCTGGCAGAACTGACCGTGGAGGGGGCGGGTACAGCTGGCTCTCTATAATGTGCCTTGCAATCCTGTGCGGCCAATCACATTGCGGCCAGAGGGCGTGGCTACGGTGCCATTCACTTCAAAGGACCGCCACGCCGCCTCTTCCCCCACAACATAATGAGCCGGCCGCAGTGCAGTGCGTTATGGCCAGAATCGAGCCGGAACGCACTGTATCTGGTATGAACAAGGCCTTAGACTCTCTGACCTGCTGACCCAGATCAAGCTGACAGGTCAGGAGTTCTGGCTTTACTGGCTCCATACTTGATATCCGACTTAGGAAGTACTGAAAAGAGAGGATCAATATGACAGCCAGGCAACAGGAAGTCAGCAGTGAAAGCCCGTGTATTTGTATCATGACACATTTCCATGAATGTATATTGAACAAACTTTCTAATTTATCATGACTGCAGTGTCTGCTGGATAGTGCGAGCTTGAATTTGACCCGTTGTCTGGAGATGCTTATAAAAGTCACTTCTCATTCCAGTTCCTTAGTCACGTGCCACACTCTAGTTTGCAGGTACACGATAGGACTTGTAGTGCAGTTCCACAAGTGCTAGACCTTTTTCTCACTGTCGCATTTTGATTGGTTGCAGCTTTGCAGCTGATTCTGGAGCTGATGGTCACCGATGTGCGGCCGGCGCTGCTGAAAGGACTTGTAGCCCTTCAGAAGCCATCGCAGAGAGAGAATACAAAGAGCCGCCCCCAGATCCTAGACGGTATGTATAAAAAGAAGACAATGTACAATATGGCCTCCTGACCTGTAGGAAGCTGTGTCATGTGACTACACGGAGCCAATCACACCTGCCTACGCTCATTTCAAAATGTGAACTGCACTTAAAGAGGAAATCTAGGTCATTTTTATGAGAAAGGGTTGAAATGCCTGTGTCCCCTTTGGGGAAATTTTCTCTCACTTCCTGCTGTGTTTCTGGAACAGGAAGTCAGAGTATACAGAATACAATGTCAGTGAAAAGGGCATTTCAGCATTTGTCCATCTTGTGTCTTTCCCCCCCAATGCGTGGTAGGTTGCCCTGGCCACCATGTATTGATAAAAAGCTTTATTTGTTCTGTTTTTTGTTTAGACCCGACAGCGCCCCAAATTTCAGAACCTTTGCCGACTTTTATTCAACAAGCCGCCTGTGCTAAAGCTATCGGGTATGTACCAGAGACGGCGCTGACAAAGATGAACTTCAATGTGTTTATTACGGGAGTGCAAAAAGCTTCAGTATCAACAATATCTTTTCTGTCTTTTGTCCTTTCTGACCCCCTGG